ATGGCTACTCAACATGGATAAAGGAATGGCAAATGGAGTGCTATTTTTGGATCTTAAAAAAGCGTTTGACACGGTTGATCATTCTATTCTCCTACAAAAGCTATACCAATACGGTATAAAGGGTACTCCTCTAAAATTACTAGCATCTTACTTAAACAACAGAAAACAAGTTTGTGTCATTAATAATAACAAGTCAGGCCAAGAAACAGTTCAATGTGGAGTACCACAGGGTTCCAATCTGGGACCATTGCTATTCTCATTGTACATAAATGATTTACCAATGTGCCTTGAGTACACACAAGCATCCATGTTTGCTGATGACACCAATCTATCATGCACAGGAAGGACCCCAGCCGAAATCGAGCACAAACTAAACGCTGACTTATCCAATGTTAACGACTGGTTAGAAGCAAATAGGTTGACATTGAATGCAGACAAAACAGAATTTATGATAATAGCCTCAAAAAGAAAACTTAATCAATTTTGCACTGATATTCGTATACATATAAACGGATCCATTATTAAACAAGTTAAGCAAAAAAAACCCTTAGGTATTACAATTGATAACGAACTAAGGTGGACTGAACACATTAATGAGCAATGCAAAAAACTTTCAAGTGCAATAGCTCTGCTTAGAAAGGCAAAACCACACGTACCTTACAACGACTTACTCCGTATTTACAATTCCCTGGTAGTTCCTTACTTTACATACTGTTCGACAGTTTGGAACGATGGAAACAAAACAAATTTGGAAAAACTTTATAAATTACAAAAGCGAGCCGCTCGTATAATTACTGGATTAAACTATGAAACAAGATCAAAAACAATCCTCCAGAGTCTAGGTTGGCATCCAATTAATAACATTCTTAAAAAAAGAGAATTTCTAATTACGTTTAAGGCTATCCGAGGTATAGCGCCGGAGTGCATCAGTAATATGTTCTCCTACTGTGATAATAGAAGTCACCACATGCGGAGCAACGGGCGGAAACTAACTCTCGATAAACCTAATAGATCATTTATGAAAAAGTCATTTTCATATCGAGGAGCTTCCGCCTGGAACTCATTACCTAACGAAATCTTAGACGTTCACGAACAGTTGACGATACATTCTTTTAAAACTAAGCTCAACAATCACCTACGTTGAAAAAATATCCAATTGTAAAGACTCCTAGTCAACTACACTATTTTGTAAATACTTATACTATTTTGTAAATATTTATTTTGTACTTTATTTTATGTAAACAACCCCTTTAAAAGCAGCGTAGGCTGAAGGGTTATTGTTTGTAAATAAGTTTTAATAATAATAATAATAATAATTTGTACTTATAATTTTTACAACTTTTAATACATATTTCATATTAAATTGTCCAACTAGAAACGAAACTAGAAGTCGAATGACTAACTTTCCAAAAATTTAGCTCTATCATTTGTTATTGTCATTTCCGAGATATTCTGAAATGCAACAGAAATGCTTCATGTCAGGTTCACATAAGGAATTTGTTTTGGAAAACTAAACTAAGGAAATTTCGTGGAAAAACTAAGGAATTCCAAAATAGCCTGCGTGGCTGGGCTTTCCAAAATTCAACTTACGAATACGAACATACGAACATTAATATGTTGCGAATACGAACATTTATAATATTGCGAATACGAACTATAATGTTGCGAATACGAACTATAATGTTGCGAATACGAACTATATAATGAGTCTATAATGTTGCGAATAAGAACTATAATGTTGCGATAATATGAACTATATTAATGTTGCGAATACGAACTATAATGTTGCGAATACGAACTATAATATTGCGAATATGAACTATAATGTTGCGAATACGAACTATATTAATGTTGCGAATACGAACTATAATGTTGCGAATACGAACTATAATGTTGCGAATACGATCTTTAATTTTGGCGGAAATATGACGCCATAAAAAACTTGTACTCTTCATGTTCTCACTGATACAAATTGTTTAATTACTTACCTTTCACAGGCATTTTCTTTTTATGGCGTTTTCAACAGCATTTCTAAATATAAACGTCAGCATTAGTTACTATGAAATGCGATGTTGTTGAAAACAAGCTCCTTGGCTACATGCAAATTTTGCTAG